AATGGTTGGAAAGGACCTTAGGATCATCTAGTTCCAACCCCCCTGCAACAGGCAGGGATACTTCCCAATAGACCAGGTTGCTCAAGACACTGCCTAACCTGAATGATGATAAGTTGTTTTGATTTGGCCTGTCCCAGGTCCCTTAGCCTCCATGGCTAAACCTCTTAGTTAGCAATTTGTTATCATCTTTATGAAAAGGGCAGAAAGAAACCAGTATGCTAAAACTAGAATTTTTAATAGTCATTTTAATCTCAAACAGCTCTTCTGTTTAACCATCTACTTCTTAATATTCCTGAACAGTAAACACTTCTGTGAGAAAGATGCTGCTCATACACGCATCCTAGGAATGGATTGCTACAGAGGCACTCCTACTTGCCTGCAAATACTTCTGTTGACTGTTCTTCCTTTTATTGTATGCTACTCTTGTGAAATTCACTGTAGTCCAGATTAACTGTTTTTAACCAGGCAATCATCAGGCTTCAAACAGCTCAGCAGGATCAACTGACTGATGACACAACCCAGATATGGAAGAAAACATGCACAGTAAGTGTGTTGCATTTGATGAATACTCATAAACAAAGGATCTGTTGTGCTAAAAGGAATTGTTGGCTGCAACAAATGATATGGAGAGATCAAAGGAATTTGTATGAAGGTAACAAATTTTTGTTGGATACTATGTTATTTCCTTTTCTTCTCTTCCTTGGTTATAACTACATAAGACAATCTCCAAAGCAAAGGATTTCAGACGCTTCTCTGCTTTTGTGTTTCCAGGTTTTGCAGAAGCTCTGTCTTTTCCTTGTGCATGGACAAAAGGCTATGGTGCAGAGCTTTACATATGATTTGGAAATAAATAATGGATGATTGACTAACCTGGTGACAAACTGCAGCAGCAGCAGCTGTGTATGCTGGAAGCTGACTGCAGCTTGGGAATTCTGCAGCTGAGCGGAGGCGGTGAGTGGTCTCTTCTCCTGTTCACAAAGGCTTGATACCATTTTCATCACAATCTGGTTCTGGCCCATTCAGAAAAGGGTGAAGCTTGCAGTTTGCCCCCTGTGTTCATGAAGGGCTTGATGAAACAAGTCGCACATGGCCAACAGTCCTATCAATGCCAATAAATGCACAAGGAGAACTGGCGCAAGGCCTGAAAGGCTACACTGCTTTCCAAATTGATATCTGGTTTTGAATGTTTATAGACTTGAGTCCTCGTTGTGGCCCTTAGAGTTTCAATTTATAAAAAATCTCACCCAGCAGCATAAATGCTACAGCAGCTTCACATCCAGCTAGAAAAATGCATTGCCAGAGCCCAGGTGCTCAGCCTCCTCAGCTCTCCTCATATGCTTTTCCAGTTTCTTTAGAGCACTGTCCTGCAATGAGATGAATCTGTCCTGAAATGTATGAAATCTGTCCTATCTGCCTGTAAATTCATCATCTTCTCAGGTAGACAGAAACAATCACAGCTAGAGTCTGAAGATCTCACAGCTCTGTCTCCAGCACCTTTCTCAGTTTTTACAGTTTCACCCAGGAATATATCTCCTAGCCATGAACAGGACCCTGCAAAGACGATTTTCTTCAGGTAACCTCTGAGCAGAAAGTTACGGGTTAGTGAGTCACTGATCCTAAAATATCCCTATGAGGCATGTGACTGCTGCATAATCATCATCATAATAATAATAGTAATTGAGCAATGCAAGTGTACATTTTTGGAATGTGCTAGGGAAATCTCAGTGCAGAGGAGGAGACAGGCACACCCAGACAGTTTTAGACACTCAGGGCACCTGGTCGCATCCAGACGGACCGGCACACCCCATCTATTATAGAATGAGCCAGGCAAGCACCTTCGTCTGTGGCCAAAAACCCCTCACTGTTGGACAAAAGACAGGCATGACAGCTAATACTGACCAATACCATGACCTCATCTCATGACATACAGATAATGACTGCAAACTGGTTTTATTTTATCTGAATATGTGCCTTATTTAACAGTACACTCTGTCTATATAATATATAAAACTATTCTTTGTGATGCTTTCTGACAGGTTCCTGACAGGTTTTCAAGCTGGGTCCTAGGCAGCTGAAACTTAGATCTGGACATCACATCAAGGAGATAGTTTCTCATGGTTTCCCTCAAGCACCATGTTTCCCTTGAAAAAGAAACAAAAGCAGTCCCTTGCAAGAACAGTCAACGTGGTGATCTATGACTAATGTGGTGATGTATTTAGTACACCCAACACATTACTTAGCTCCTCTCTATGAGGAAGGAGCTGATGGGATAAACTGACCCTTGGCAGTCATCCTGCACAAATATTATGACAGCTTTAAATTCTCTGGTTGAGAGATGCTGCTTTCAGCTGAGGGATACTATGTTGGTATCAGCATAGAGACTAAGTTGGCCAACAAACAGCAATCATACCAACACTTCCGTTGTCATCTATTTTGGGATTTACACAGTTATGACATTCCTCTTCATGTTCACCAATAATCTGTCAAGAAGAGAGCTTGGACATTTCTGGAAGAACTAAAAGATGGAAAACTCTTTTGGGTGCTTAGGCAGCATTTGTGACTAAGCTGCAGTTTAGTATGTTTGGTATAGTTCATAACGAAGGAGTACACAGTTTTGTCAATATTTTGTGACCTTCTCTGACCATATCTGCGCCCAAATTGGCAGTGACCACTGCCAGACTCTTCTGTAAGAAACCTTCAGCTTTGCATAGCTTGTTTCAAACATCCACTATTGACTAGTAACCAAATAAATAAATCTCCAAGATTTCCTGAAGGCTAATGAACTGGGGGAGGTGGGGGGGAGGGGGGAGAATGAGAGAAGGAAAAGTCATCGATGTCTCAGTGACTCCTTTACCATACATAGAATCATACAATCATAGAACAGTTTGGGTTGGAAGGGACTTTCAAAGGTCATCTAGTCCAAACTCCCTGCAATTAGCAGGGACATCTTCAACTAGATCAGGTTGCTCAGAACCACATACAGCCTGGCCTTGAATGTCTCCAGGGATGGGGTATCCACCACTACTCTGGGCAACAATGTATGTCCATGTGCTTAGACCAAGAAAGAGGGAAGCAATGTTAACTCCCTAAGTCACTTTGCCATACCACCTTCCAAGTTCCTTCTTTGATTGCTTTCGCAGCTACTCAGGTCTGAGAAATTAAACCTCTGTGTCAATCTCCTTTCCTCTGGCAAAGTCAGTGATTCAGCACAAGAGACATGCATCGTCCTTGTGAATTCTTCTGAACAGCAATCAATAATGGTACAACGAAACCTCCGAAGTGACTTAAACATACATTGTGCAATATGACTAGCAGACAGATTAAAGAATGACCCAGCAGGAATTCTCCTTCCTTAATTTTCAGGTCCCACACGTCAAATTCACTCTAGCAACTGTGACTAATACCCACCACCAGCACACCTGCCTCCCAGGATTTCCTGATTCTAGATCACACATAATTTGAGGAAGATTTGCAAGTAACTTGTCTTATTCTTGGCTTGAGGTACCTGAAAATGCTAAGCACCCATTTCCATGCAGATTTTGAGAAGATGTGTTTCGTAGGACACCTGGAAATCAAAGTTCTTGAAATCATGTAATCATTGCTGAATGTCTTAGCTCTAATTTCTCTCAAGCAAGTATTTCCAAAAATTATACTTCTACCACAAGTATGATGCTATTTGCTTCTCCTTGAGGATGTCTCTTAAGTTCAAGTGAGTACATGTATGCCTGTATCACACCATGACCACAACTTCAGTAAGGTCTAGAAACCTAGCAGCAGTGGACTCACATTGTTGATGGATAAAGCCCATGCTCTTAGCCCTGCTGACAAGGAATTCTCCAGGCATCAGTTCCAGACCTGCATTAACACCTTCACACGGAGCTGTGTTGCACGGCTATCCCAGTCTGCCCAGCACTGCACCACCACATGCCGTCGCACTAGGTTGGACATACCTCATAGAGAAACTCCATTTTAAAATGTCCTCCTGATTGCAGAAGGAAGCTTGAACACACTGTGCCACAGCTGCAGCTTTGCCATGTAAAAGTGACATGTAATGAAGAGATGCCTCTCAATATAGTGTTGAGAAAAAAACTCATTATATTTTCATCCATCCTCTAATTTGTAAGCACGAAGTATGACCTACAAAATATCTTGGATAAACAATGCACCAAAAATACATCAAACTGCTCTAATACATAATGCAGACATGGTGTTTGGCCTAAGAAAGCAATGCCTAGTGCTGCAAGCAGTCCTTCTGCTGTTTGTCTGTGCGAGGAGAGCAACTCCCTACTTGTACCCCCAAACCAGGAAACGCTCCAGGCATCAGCAAGCATCGACCCATTTTTTGGGGAGCACATGGGAAAATCTGATTCAGGAAAATCAAAGTCCTGAGTGGCTGGTGTTGGGGCAGTTGCCGGGCCTTTGCTGCTGCAGAGGACACAGCAGGCTTGTTTGCTCTGCACTTGTTTGCCCTGCAATATGGAGTTTACACACTGCAAAACACCTTGAGGCACCATGAGCAGTTGTAGGTGGTGGGTGGCCACTGGTGGGATCGGGGAGAGGCAAGAGATAAGGGAAATTGGGATGAGAAGGGGAATGGAGAAGATGGGATCCCAGCCTGCAGACAGGGACATGAGACCCTAAGATGCAGCGGGGTGAGGCACCGGGAGGGGAAGAGGCTCTGATACAGGCGGCTGCAGGCAGCGGGGTGGGGGGATCTGTGGGTCTGGCCGGCCTGGGAGCAGAGCGGCCGGGCGCACACTCGGCGCAAGGAGCGGGGCCGGGGCACCCCCTTGCCGGGCGGGGGTTGCGGCGGTGCCCGCGGCGGGCGGCTGGTGTCGGGGGCGGGCAGGGGCGGGCGCCCCCAGGGCGGGCTGCGGGGCGGGGGGGAAGGAGGAGCGGCGGCCGCCGGAGGATGGGAGCGGGCGGCGGAGCCGGGCAGCGGCGCGGGGGCAAGGCCGGGAGCGCGGCGGCATCGCCCGCGTAGGGCGGCGCGGGAGCCGAGCGACGCCGCGGCCATGGAGAGGGCGAGCCCGGCGGCGGGGAAGCTGAACGCCGGCGGCCGCGGGGCGGGCGATGGGCTCGGCCCCGCCGGGGGAGCCCAGCCGCGGGCTGCGGCGGCGGGCAGCGCGGAGCCGGGCGAGCTCATCGGGCGGGCTCTGGATTTCAAGAGCGAAGGGGCGCAGTGCTACAAGGACAAGAAATTCCGGGAGGCCATCGGCAAGTACCACCGCGCCCTCCTGGAGCTCAAGGCTCTGCTGCTGCTGCTGAGCCAGGAGCCGCCCGGGCAGCGCCCTCCCTCCGCTGCCGCCGCTGCTGGGCTCAGCGAGGAGCAGCGGCAAGCGGTGGAGGCCATCGAGGTTGACTGCTACAACAGCCTGGCAGGTCAGCGGGGCGAGGGGCGGCGGGGACCCCACACCTTCCCCGGCAGCCCTCCCTTCCCCTCCGCAGAGCAGCGCTGCCTCACTTCTCTGCTCATTTCATCTCCTTTCCTTCCTCTGCCTTCCATTTTCATCGCTGCTCTCACGCCGGGCGCAGAAGGGGCTGCCAGTGCCCCTCTCGCTGCCAGTTGCCCCAGGTAGCGCTGGCTGGGTGAGGAGCTCAGGCTCGGCCGCCCCTCACCCTGGGGCTCGGCTCCGGCCCTTCCCCGCTGGCTGGTCCCCGTGCCTTGCCCCTGGCCGTAGGTGATGGGGCGGACCGGACACGGCGCGGCCATGGGACGCTCAGACTTAAGAAATTGTGGGTCGTGGGCCGGCCGAGATTGCGGGCTCCGTTTTATCCTCAGCCCGAGATGTCCTTCAGTGCCTTCACCGCAGCTCCCGTTCGGGTGCCTGTAATTAACAGTATTACAGGGAGGGAAGACTCCTTCTGCCACATCTGATGTAAGGAAGGGGAAGGGTTTGGGCGCCACTGCAATAGCTCCAAATAGTACTAGATATAAAAAGAATTTTTTTCCCTCTTAGCCATGAAAGTTGAAAGCAAATGTAGTCCTGGCTTCACGCTAGCTGCCAGTCATCACTGTGGTTAGTAGACATTTGATCATCGCTCCCTTTGCTCCCTGCTATCTGTTTAGAACAAGTGCTGCAGGAAGATGGAGGGGAGCAGTGGTGGGGGGGTTAACTACTTTGTAGTTGGATTCTGAAGTCCTTACAAAGACAGGACTCCTGTTGACTTCAAGGGTCTTTGCCCAAGCAAGAGCTGCAGGATCAGGGGTTATTTTTGGTCCCTAGCATCTCGTGGATTTTTTTCTTTCCAAGCCTGAAAGCATCTCTAAAACAAGAAATCATGCCTAGGTGTGTACAGGGAGGAGAGCGTTCATAACCTGGGCAAGGTGCACAAAATGTCAACCTTAATAAAGCTCTGTTGTTTTCCAGAAGGATAACAGGTCACTCATTACCCTTTATATCCTTGGAGGAAAAAATGGCGAAAATCAGGATGTTAGTGTGTCAGCAGTCACCATCACTTGGCTTTTGGGCTTCTAGACAGAGTTGGTTAGCTTTGTTTCCTGTTGTCTAGTGCTAAAAAATAGGTGCAGAATAAAGCAAATGGTTTAAAATACCAAGCCAGCATCTTCTCTTGTCTTAATCCATGCCATTCTGTTGTACTTGGTATGTCTTTTGGAATGTAATGGGGGGCACAACTTAGCTCCCTTTCATCATGTTTTCTAATACCGTTCCTTCAGAAGCCTGTTGAAATGGCATGGAGGGAGAAGCAGGTGAGATTCCAAAGCGATACCAGAATTGCAAAGCTGTAATTTTGTCTCTTTCGAAATTCCTGTTCATGGGCTTATTAAAAATCCGTTATATTTGGTAAGGATCATTTGGTTTGTACAGGGTTCTGCAACGAGCCTATAATATTCTGAACATTATAGCTTGGTGAGTTCCTGGGCTTCAGAAAGTACTCACAGGCAATATCTCTGCTAGATACAAACAAGATGTGGCAGGTAGAAGGTAAATGAAGGAGGAGGGATGGGATTTGTTTCTGTGGCACTTTCTGCTGGGTACACAGGTTCCACTTGCTAGGAATGCGTCTGCTCCTGCTGATGAAGTTGTCCTGTGCAATGGTCATTGTCCAGCTCATCTATTTATTGTTCTGGGTGCATATGGGGTATTTTTTATTTTTATTTTTTTGTTGTTGGTTGTATTGGATCTCGTCAGCAATAGCAATCAGTGTGAGAAACGTGCTCCATCTTTAACGTAGATTGGAACAGATTTTTCCCTAAATTTAACCAGTGTGAACGCAGGAGGAGGTGAGCATAATTAACCCTGGAGTTGCAAGCAGTGCTTTTCCTGAGATAACCTCACAGCAGGTCAAGCTGTCATTTTGCACAGGCAGTTGTCACATGTTTTCAGTAGATGGCATGCACCAAGCAGAGAACAGCATTTGTCTCAGAAATGTGTAGCTTCATGTGTGTCTGCTGGGCTGTCTGCAAGCAGTGCTGAAGAAATCCCCTGTATGATGGAGAGGGGAGTGTGCAGTTAAGCTGGAACTGCAGTATTGCTACTCCTATTCCAGTCCCAGAGCTCCGATTCTAGCAGGAGCATCTATGAATTCAGGTCTGAAGGGAAGAGGGGGGAGGGCGTTTCCCCAGAAATGTCACAATAATTAGTACGTCTTTCTAATGGCAACTTCAAGAGGTGGAGCAGTGGGCAGGGGGGTTGAAACTTGATGATCTTAAGGTCCTTTCCAACCCTAACTATTCTATGATTCTATGACTTTATTTTCTAAGTGTGGTGCAGCAGAAGCCACACAGTGGGTAGGGGCACCAGCACATACTGTTAGGGTTGAAATCAGTGTTATTTGTCGTGAGCAAAAGTGTTATTTGTCGTGAGCAGGGGGGTTTGCTTCTAAACACTGACTGGGTGCCTAGAGCTGTTTTTAAAATAAATAAATCTTCACAGTGCAGCAAGCATAGCAGCACTACATGTTAATTCTAGAGAAAGCAGTTTTCCCTTAGTTCTGATATGTACCCAGTAGCATTAGCAGCTGTCATCCGAGTGTCCTTGTTATCAAGTTCTTTTAGCACCTCCACTTACTCTCTAAGCTTAGCATTTAAGAAGCCCACCTTGCTTTTGAACTGTCATTTGTCATGTGGCCACCACACATCCACCTGTCAGAGATGTTCTGTGTTACTGATACAGATGCGCACATACAGGCACACAGACACACACACACATACACTTACTTGTTTAGAAGCAGCATACCAGTCAGAGGAGGGCATCAACTATATTTACGTAAATATGCATTTAGCCAAAGAAGTAGGTGAGAAACATGCACCCAAAGGGGATTTGGGTCAATCTCCTGGGTCAAGGCTGGGGTTGTTTTTTGTTTTAATCTGACAGATTATATGAGTAAGAACATGTGGGCAAAGTAAACTGTTGTCAGTGCCTGTATTGCCTCACAGAATGTAAATTTAGGCACAAACCTGCACACAGAATGGTGTTTAGCTGCACTTCTTTTGTAGAGCATCTTCAGCAGGCAGTTCTCTTACCGTGAGGTATGGTGGCCAGCTCTTTTCTTTCATTGGAGCCCCACAGTGTTCAGTGTGTTTTGTGAAGTCCTGTGTTGTAGAGCTCAGTGGCCCCCCCAAACCTAAACTATTTAGCCTATTTCAAAGGATCCCAGATCCTGGGTTTTGAATTCTCATTATTTTATTTTTGTTTTTACATTTTGAATCAGGATATTCACTGCTTGCCATTGGCAGTACTGTTCATATTTCTTTCACTAAGCTGCTAGCTAGGCTTCAGTTTAAGCTCCAAGGGTTTTGCCTACCATGTTCTTATATGGGCCTGCTGATACTCCTTCATCTTACCACAAGTGTCTCCAGTAAATGTCACCAGAGGCAAGTGCAGCAGCATGGTCAAGGCTCCCAGAAATTGCTAGGGAAGGCAAAGATAAAGCCTACCAGCAGCATAGAGCCTTGCAGAATGAATGCAGGGTTGTAAGGCAAACAGTCCTTTCTTTATGACTCAGTAACTGATGGTCTCTGACCTTGAGGAAGTCACTTGACCTTTTTTTCCCTCACTAAGCCCTACTGAAAAATAAAGAACAGGGACCGCAGTCTCATCCTGATGGTGCATTCAACTGGGTTTCCCCCAAACACGTTCTTTCTAAAGAAGATGAATGTATAAAAAACACCTACAGAAAAGCGACTGGCCAAATATCCCTCAGGTCTTAGTTGCCTTTCTACTCCTTCAGTATCTTTGGTCTAGAACAAGCTTAAATACTTTATATAATGCATGCAGGTAGGGATTATTTACCTACTACAAATGCAACCATTACTCTCATGGAACACAATGATTATTTTATTCCAACAGTATTGCCTAAAAGTTTACAGGGTCAAAAGGGCTATGTCTGCTCTGCAGAGAAAAACAAGTCCTAGTCGTGCCAAAGCAGTAAAATGCTAAGAGTAAGCATAGTTTTAACCTTTTCTCATGAGGGAGTGTTGCAGTGTGATAAGCAAACCTTTGTTGGTTTTCCTAAGTAGGCAGAAATGCAAGAGCTAATCCTGGCAGGAGAAACAGAATCAGAGGGAGAACTGGGGAGCAGGAGTGGTGCTGGGGGATCTGGGTTTCTAATCTTCCCCTTCTGCTCTAACCAGTTGTAGTATCTTCACCAGATCTTTCCATTCTTCAAACCTCAGTTTATATTTCCGCATTTATGACTTTGTGGGGTTACTGAACGGCTTTGTTAAATACATGAATGCAAATGAAATGTGTTTATATCCCCATTCAGGTGTGTTTAGTGTACTATAGGGGTCTTGGCAGGAGCACACACATAACCTGCGCAGAGTATTTAAAAGTGTAGCCATGCAAGATGCATCTCAGCCTGGATAATGAGATTTTTCTACACTGGCAGAAGTGTGCACTGGTACCATTCATTACTATGTGAAGGCCATAGTCACAGTCCCACAAAACATGGCATTTCTAGCACTGTAGGATCCTCCTAACCACCCCTGGTCGCTAGCTCCCAAATGTCACCAGTTGCACAGACTTTGGTGAACAATCTCACTGGGAAATCCAAGTAAAAATACTTATAACACTTAATACAAGCAGAAATATAACTAAACATGAGAAAAGCTGGTAAAACTTGTCTCCACTGACCACCCACTAGGACTCCTGACAAGGAGTCTCTGCTAAAATCCCCTCTCAGTATATAGCTGTTAACAAGTACAGACTCTACCAGGACACATGGTGCTGTGGGTGTTAAAGCAGCCTTGGATTGTTGCTTGATGTGAAGGGGTTTTTATGCGCTGCATCAACAAAAAACACCCTCTGTAAGGATGCTCTGCAGTGGGAAAGAAAGCAACAAACAGAGCAGGTCTGCACTTTCATGGATTGAGGGGGGGAGTTTCCCAACACTATGGTCAGCCAGAGTGCATGGGA